GCCAGCCTGGCTGGCTTGGGGATTCTTGGGGTTGGAGTTCCCTCATCTTAAAGTGGCCAAGTTTGGACAACACTGCTCTAAGGTCTTTGCTGTCAATCACTCTTGTTTCCCAGTGGGGTAAGCAGGAGGTAACGGTGTCCAAAAGGGACGTTCAGGCATGTGTTCTCTTGGACTGGGGGTGACCTGCCTCCTAATTCCAGTTGAGAGGAATCACGATGGGAGAGGTGTGGGGGTCTCCACCTCCTGCCTCAGATGCATCTGGGTGGTCCTCGTGAGAAAGACAATGTGGGAGCAAGGTGGGCTTGCCCTGATCCAGCAGGGCTGTTCTTACATTCTGATCTTCAAAAATGCATCCACATATTCTTTCTCCCGGCAGCCTTCCTGAGTTTTCTGCAGGGGGTTAGTTGTATGTTCTTCCCTTGTTGAGAGAGCGGGGAGCCCATTAAGGGAGGGACAGGATCTTCCATGAATTGTTCCCTTTTAGACCAACCAAGATCTCAGCTTTACTGCATCTGCCCACTGATTCAAACAAAACAAAGCAGGAATCAGTTCAGGATGATAAATGGGGGCAGAGGAACACCCCCTCCATTCTGTCCAGCTGGGGAGTTCCTAGCCCTTCTACCAAGGACTTCTCTTTGGATCTTCCTGCCCAAAGTCCTGAAGCCAGACTTGCTAGATGTCCCTCATGGAGGAGGTTGCATCCTGATGTGACATGTCTGCTAATTCCTGGCCCAGTTAACAGCTTTGCACTCATTTATTGATGACGTTGAGGTTCCCAAAGTCTGGATAGGTAGACTGTACAGAGCACACTGTGGTGACCTGACTCATTTTAGGCACATGGGTAACCTGGTTCAGGAGGCCAGAGCCTGGAGTCTGGCCCTAGATGTGCAAGCAAGCTGGAGAGCAGGAGAAGGCTCTTTTCTCCAAACATTCAGAAAGGGCCTGTTCCAAAATTCATGCACATTCCGTGACTGGAAAATCCCTTCAGCTGAACAGATGCAGTGCTTGCAAATGAACTTGTGCTCCTGAAGGCCAAGAATTTGCAGCCCAGGAATTGTCGCTTGGCCTGATCATTGGACTTTGCAATCTGCCTTTTTGCCTGGAATAAAAACACATTTATTCTTCAGTTTACAGAAGATGTTAATTTTCCTATGCTGCTTTTTGTAAGTCTCTTTTAGATTCTATGTATATTCCTTCTATGCCATCCTTTAATAGTAAGTGGATGGGCCAGATCCAGAGCTGAGCAGGAGGTTAAGTCTTCTTCCAGATGAGACTCTTGTTCCTGATCTCCTCCTGCCTGCTGGAGGGCTGTTTGGGTGAGTTTCTTTCAAGAAAGGAGAGGAAGGGCAGCATTTGCACGCAGATCAGCTGAAGACTGAGGACCTGCACTGTGGGTTTTCAGCACATACTATGTAATATTGGGCAAGAGATGTTCCAAAAGAGTTTGGGTAGAGACAAGAGCGGGACCAGGAGAGTTTGTCTTTCTCCCAGATGAGGACAACCCTCTTCCAGAGAAGCCCCATGGGGTGTTGCAGGAGTGGATGCAGTTAATTAAGTTCTTATAATTATTTCATTTTTCAAATACATTGCAGGCTGGGGGATGTTGTCGTACAGAGACACAAAGAGCAGTACCAGGCAGGGGGGTTGGAGGAGTTTTCAGCCACAGATCCCCTTAGCTCTGCCCTCTTTCCCCCCTCCAGCCTCCTGGCACTCCCTCTCCTATTCCTACACCTTCGTCTCAGAGCCCAGCCGAGGGCTGCCCCGGTTCAGCATCCTGGAGTCCCTGGACCACTATCCCGTGAATCTCTATGACAGCAACACACAGAGCTTCCGCCCTCTGATTCCCTGGATGGAGAAACTTCAGAAGGAGGAGCAGAAAGTCTGGGACGACTTCACCCAGGCAGCAAAGCAGGCGGAGAAACAGTTTCGACTGAACCTGCGAACCTTGCAGAAGTACTACAACCACAGCCAGGGTGAGTGGAAGGGGGGTGGCAGGGATTCCCTGCCCTTGTGGCTTTCCTCTCCAACTAGCAGAAGTGGATTTCTGCCCACTGCAGAAATTCACATTTCCTGCTTCCTCCCCCGCTGCCTCCCCATGATTTGTGCTACATCCCAGGGACAGGAGAGAACTGGGCAGGTCAAGGAAGGGCTGGATCAGGAAAAGGTGTTTTCAGGGTGCATTTTTAGGCTGCTCCGAGGAAGCAGATCAGTCACTTGATTGCAGCGGGCAGTGGTTCTCTAAGGGCATTTTCAGTTCTGTCTCTAGTTTTCTGGGCAACGCTACAGGAGACGTTGATCAGTGCCTTTTTTCCAGGCTATTCGTTTTAGCTTCCAGCTCTGGGACTTCCTGCTGGTGTCCCATCTAAGACCTAACTAGATCTGTCTCTGCTTTTTTTAGGTGCTGCTAGGGCAGTTTGGGAATGGGCTGCTCATGTGCAAAGGACTGAGCTATTCCTCCCCCTCCCCGGCTCACATCCTTCCTGCCTAAGAGAAATCTCACTGCTCCAGGGATAGAGATTCGACCACTTCAAATTTCCTTTTGAGACAAGAAAAGAACATCCCCGCTAATCCTGCTTTTTGCTCTTCCCAGCATTTTGGTTTAGTCTCAGGCTACCCGAGCGGGTCATCATAATTATTTACTATTTTTTTTAATCATTTGTATGCTGTTCTTCAAAACAGATAACGGACAGCAGTTTGAAGCACACTAAAATTACATTTAAGACGTCTTTACAGTTCAAACAGTGACCAAAAGCCTAGCTCCTATACATACAGTAGCTTTGAAAATTCATCACAGCATCCAATCTGAAAATGGCAACCTAGCAGAATATTAAATATATTAAAAGGAGAGGAGAATAAAAACATCTTTGCCTGGTGTGAGGAAGACAGGGGAGGAAATATAGAATTGGTGAGCTCTATCCAAGAAGATAAAAGTGTTTCTGGCTCTCAGCCCATGTTTTCCATCATGGGCAGGTCCTTGAGCTTTTATGTTATTTATCTTATTTTATTTTATCAAATATATATAGCTGCCCAGCTCATGAAGGTGACTCTGAGCAGCGTACAATAAAAACACATCATAAAATAACCATAAAAACAAGAAACATGCATGTAACCCAGGAGAGTGTTTAAAAACTCAGACATAATAGAGCTACCCTGTGGGCTTCCTGATTCCAGAGGATCCCCGGGCCTGTTGGAAAAACCACGTCTTGAGACATCTCCGGAAGGTCAATAGGATCAGGGCTAATCTCATCTCAGTGGGGTGATGTTCCAAAGAATGGGTGCTACAGCAGAAAAGGCTCACCTCTTTGGTCCCATCAGATGGAACTCCTTAGCAGACGGGACCTGTAACATGCCCTTCCTCCCAGACCTGATGGGGTGGGCAGATGTAATCGGGGAGAGGCGGTCCCTCAGATAACCTGGTCCCATGCCAGGGAGGGCTTTAAAGGCCAAAACCAGCCCCTTGAATTGGACCCGGAAGCAAACTGGCAACCAATGCAGCTTGCAGAGTAGAGGTGTAGCGTGTGCCACTCTAGGGAAACCCATAGCTGCCTGCGCCACTGCATTTTGCACCAGTTGAAGCTTCTGAATACTCTTCAAGGACAGCCCCATGAACAGTGTATTACAGTAGTCCATTTGGGAGGTGATCAGGGCGTGAGTAACTCTGAGCAGAGCTTCCTGATCCAGGAATGGGCGCAACTGGTGCACAACTTGAAGTTATGTGAAAGCCACGACTGCCACCTGCTCCTTGAGGGATTCCCAAGTTGCGCACAGCATCTGCTTGGGATAGTGCCACCCCATTCAGTACTAAAAGTGGTAAAGTCCCAGATCCAGAAGGTCCTAAAAGGTCCAAAGCCACTCAATCTTGCCAGGGTTCAGTTAACTAAATTTCTGTTGGAAGTTTTTTGTTTTCTAGCAAGGTTGGCGGTTCTTTGGAACCCAGGATTGCAGAACAAGCTTCCTGTTGAGCCCAGCAAGTTATACAAAGCTTTCCTTGTGATTCCTGTTGAGTAGCAGTTATTCAGCCAGTTTCCTATAGTGACCTCATCCGCTGCTTTTGCCTGCATGATGATGAACATCTGACTACTACAATAATTAGGGGAACTTCCTTCTGATTCAGGCATTTGTTAATGAATCCAGACTCTCATGGCTCTAGTGTCAGGCCCAGCCCAAGAACAACGATGAAACAGTCGAGTCTAGTACAGTTCCTGTTTTTGCTTACACCTCATAGACAGAATCTTGCCAAACTAAATCTATATTATAGCAACTAGTGGATATACTCTGGGGGGGGGTCTAGGGAGTGGCAACCCTGAACCTCTTTCGCTTTTCACGCTCCCCCTGCGGACTGTGCTGCCTCTTGTCTCCTTTCCCCACCAGGAATGCCGCCCCTCCCTCCTGATAGCTTTGATCTCCCACATCACTCTCCTCCTTGTAGATCCATTCCATCACAAGTGTGACCTAAAATGGACTAAATCCAGTGATCCAGTTAGACCTGCTCTTTCTACCTCCCTTTTATGTTTCTTCAGGGCTTCACATCTTGCAATGGAGGTACGGCTGTGAAATTGGTGGTGATGGGCACAAAGGAGGCTCGGACCAGGATGGTTATGATGGGAGGACCTTCCTCAGCTTTGACAAGGAGACCCTCACCTGGACAGCAGCTGATGTAGCAGCTCAAGTCTCCAAGAGGAAACTGGAGGGGGAGCCATCCTTTGCCCACCATTTAAAATACTACCTGGAAGAAACCTGTTTGAGAATATTGAGAAAACGCCTTAAGTATGGGAAGGAGTCTCTCCTGAGGAAAGGTGTGCATGAGTATCCCAACCAGAGATGGGATGCTGGATGACCCCCTAGGATTCCTTCTTGCTATTCAGTTAGCCTTTCCATTTCTGCAGAGACCCCAGTGGTGACAGTGACCAGCAAGACAGAGGCCAATGGCATGGAAAGTCTTGTCTGCCGAGTCCACGGCTTCTACCCCAAGGAGATCGATGCCTCCTGGAGGAGGGACGGGGAGGTCTGGCTGCAGGACACCCTCCATGGGTCTGTGGCCCCCAATGCAGATGGGACCTTCCACCTCTGGCTCAGCGTCGAGATCGATCCCCAGGAGTGGGAGCGCTACCAATGCCATGTGGAGCACGACAGCCTGCAGGAGCCTGTGGACGTGGCCTTGAATAAGCCTGGTGAGAAATAGCGGAGGAAAGCTCAGGATGATTCTTCGTGGGTGGTAAATTCTGGGAGGTGAATTTTCACCTCGAGGAGAACAGAAGCCAGGAGGCTCTTCGTGATGCATCCCAGGCTGTGCCCATTATCTTTTTGCATCCTTTTTGGGAAAAAGCAGATGATTCCGTGTTCTAGTTCTGAACATTTAAAAAGAGTCCCTTGAATTGAGATCAGCTCTTGGTGATTTTATGGATGTGTTTCCATTGTTTTCTTCCATTATATTTTTAGCTTCCTGCGATTTCTTGGTGGTCTCCCATCCCAGGGCTGCCTAGCTTTTTGATGAGCCTCTCCTGATAGTGTCTGTAGATAAGAGGGACACTGAAATGTTCTCAAGTACTTTGAATCATTCACTGTAAATGGGACAGCCAAATGGGAGAGTAAATCCTTTTTTCTTATTTTTCTAAATGTATTGATTTATGTCACATTTATAGAGCTGCCCACCTCACACAAAGGGACTCTGGGCGGCGAACAACCATTAAATAAACTAATAAATAGATAAAAACAATCATTGCAAAAAGATAAAAAGAGATTATTAAAATGAAAATATTATCGAACATTTTAAAATACACAAACCCCACGGAGAGAGCGGAATATCAATCATAGGGGAGCCATCAAAGAATGTCTCTGGTGCCCAAAGATGGTGGTGATGACCCAACCAGGTCTTGGGTGGCTTTAAGGACAGCAGGGACAGTATAGTCTCCTTCTGGAGGAAAAGACAGAGGCTCTCCCCCCCACAAATCCCTGCTTTAAAATACCCCAGAAAACTATAGAATGGAAGAGGAAGCTGCTTATCTCTGTTAAATTCCTCTGAATCCATGAGCTCTGCAGTTCCTCAGGGATTATGAAATTCCCCTGTATCAAAGAAAGGCCGTTCTTCAGTCATTCTGCTCTCTTTTCAATTTGGTTCTAGCTTACAAGAAGAGGCTGCTTCATATGTCCTTCTGGGTGCTGATTTTGCTGATTTTGCTGATCCTTATCTGCGCATTCAGGAAAAGTAAGCTGGGAATGGGTTGGGCTGGGGTGCGGGGCGATAGGGCTGGTCCTACCCTGCATTAAGCAGCAAAGGCTGAAGAGCCGTGGGGACAAAGCACGCAAGCACACCCACGCGTGGAAATTACACTGGAGAGGAGCATCAAAGTAAAGGGCAGGCTTCAGGGTTGTCTGGGGGGTTATTTGACAGGTTTGGATGCCAGAAATATGCTGAAGATGGTACAGAACAGGGAGAGATCTAAGCAGCAGCAGGTGGGAGTGGGAGGAAGAAGAGAGGGGAGGGAGGGGTTCTCGATCAGCTGGGGATCTTCAGATCCAGCTGCTTAGCTCAGAGATAAAGGAGAAGTTCAGGCAGACATTGCCACCCCCTTTGTCCTCTCCGGCTCTGCTTTCAACCTTGCCCCCTCCTCCTCTGCTTTTCTATGGCTCTGGGCTCACTTCGAACCTTTGCATCTTTGGCGGTGACTCCATTAATTTGCTAAACTCCTCCCATGTTTCAGGACAAACGTGAAAGTCAGTCTGGAATCCAGGTACCTTCACACCTTTTTCTTGGCAGCAATATTAACGTGGTTTGTCCTTGCCTTCTGGGACTTTTTTTCTTTCGCTGGTGGGATTTCCTAGTGGTCTCCCATCCAGGTATTAAGAAAGCCTGACCCGGCTTAGTTTTTGTTGGGATCGACCATCTGATGTAGAGAGAGCACTCCCATTTGGCACGTGCTCATTGGGGCCCTTTCCTGTCAGCTCTGCAGGAGGGCCCCTTTGCCATTTCTGCCCCCGTTACAGCTTCTTGATGATGATAGAATCCTTTCAGTAGATAACTTTCCACTTGATGGCCATCTCTGGTGAGGGCAAGTGTGGTGGGGGGATTTTCCTCTCATTCTTCCTTTGATTTTTTTAAGGTGTAAGCCAGCGGAGAAAGAGGATCCCAGCCCAGCTGAGGGACTTTGGCATGAAAGAAACAGCTGAGTGAGTAGAGGGCTTTGGAAAAGGAATAGCCCTGGCCCTGGGCAGCACCCCCCATACATACGACCCCCTTTGGGAGCCCTCTGGGGCTGCTTCTGGCTCCTGTGAAGTCCAGCCAATAGGGCCAGTGTGTGGTTGGCCATGGTGCAGGGCTGCTTTTTAGTCCCAGTGGTGCTGCTGGTCAGAAAGTGGATCTAACTCAGGGCTGCTTCTCTCCAACACAGGAAAAGAGACCCCCATCAAGCAGCCCCAGAGCAGGTGAGTGCAGAGGAGGGGAGGGGGATCCTCCGTGGGGAGGGCGGAGCAGCCCCACAGTGGATCTCAGCTCCCCCTTCCTGATCTTTATGCCGTTGCTTCCAATAACGGAAATGATTTATGGAGAAGAGGTTGGAAATGCTGGAGGCTTAAGAGTTGCAGCTGAGCACAAACCACGGGGGGAAAGTCAGCCATCGCCCCTGGAAAGCAGGTCTCCGGTCAATGAAAGCGGCTTCCTCTCCTTCCACCCCAGGGAAAGATATTCCCAGCATGATGCTGGCAGGGCTGGGACAGGTAGGGCTCAGCAGCCCTTTGCAGCCCCAGAGCAGCCTTGGTGTGGCAGTGTCAGGTTCAGCCCAAAGAACTCCAAGAGACAATGCAGACACAGTTCTGTTACATTTATTAGCTTCAACCTCTAGACAGGAATCTCCCCAGACTGAACTCTAGTTCCCAAGCCAGCCAGCCACAACACCGTGAATTCCTTAGGGAGGTGCCAGCCTCATCTTCTTGAACCTCCACGCTCCTGCTGTGGACTAAGAACACGCTTATCTCCCTGAGCCTGGCCTTCATAAGTCCATTCCATCACAGTCAGGCAGCCAAAGTTTTCAGCCTGGTCTTTGGGGTTTGGTGCAATTTAAAGGGCAAAATGACAACAACCACCTCTCGACAGTAGTGAAGGCTTAAGGCATGCGCGGCCCTCCCTTAGAAAAACCATTTCCCCAAACTCTTTCCTCCGCTGGGTGATTGGGGAGCAAGGTTAAAAGCACCCATTTTCTCCCTCCTTGGTGCGAATATACAACCACTGGGGCTTTACAGTTTCTCAGCTTGGAAATATTTTGCTGTTCTTCTGTTAAATTTGTTATTTAGCTGGGCCTCTTTCTTCATTTTTTAAAACCAATTTATGCAAGGTTGGGAAACTGTTCGGAGTTAGTCAACCATTGAAGCAGCATCTAAGCCTAGTTAATTCATTAATATTCCCACCCCTAAGCAGGCCAATTTTTCCTATTTGAGGGAGGAATTGTGGGTAAAATGGTGCAAGGCATAACACAGCGCCCCTTCAATACCTTCTGCCAAGAGATGCCATAAAAGGTGCCCATCGAACCACTCCAAGTCAGCTCACTGTGATGGTTAGAAGTAGCAAAAAAGGTGCTGAGCCCTCAGGTTTGGAGTCCCCTGAGTGAAAGGCCTCCTTTCTCCTCCCTTTGCATCTGCTTGTGAGGAAGGGCTGGGTTATGGGGTTTTCCTGTCCTCTACAGCCTATAAGGAGCCACCCTCAATTCTGGGGACAAGGCAGCAAAGCTGGGAATAATCCGAATGCATATTTCCCAAATCCCATCTCAGTGGCAAATGCCATGCGGATTTAGGTGTCTGAGAAGGTCTCACCCAACAGCTCCTTTCTTTGGGCTGTTGCTCTGCTCGTCCACCTGGGTGAGACACACTGGGGTCTAAATTGGGCTTGGAGAGGTTTTCTTATTTAGATTTCACCGCCAGCTGGGTTCTCCTTTTTCTGTCTCTTGCAACAGGACAACGAGGTCTGCAATGCTCAGTGGAAGAAGGAAGTTGAGACTCATGAGAAGATGCTCAGTGGAAGAAAGACGAAGGAAGTTGAGACTCATGAGACTCCAGACTGAAATGTTTTTTTCTCTCATGAATTAAAAGTGGGCCAGAAGGTCAGCTGTCTCCAGGGACTGTTTCATAGAGTCCTGGGGTTGGAAAGGCCCTTGGAGGTCTTCTACTCCAACCCCCTGCCCAGGGCAGGAATCCTCAGACCATCCTGGACAAATGGTTGTCCACTCTTTTCCAGAGGTGAGACACATAAGATGGGCTGCCATACAAATCTTATAAATGCATAAATATAATATGTATATTATATACATTTAATAAATAAATAAACTTCCACTGAAAGAGCTCCCGTGACTTTAGGAGGCAGGGTGTCCCACTGCTTCGTAGCTCCCAGAGTCAGAAATTCCTCCTTATTTCAAGCTTGGATCTCTCTTTGAGAAGCTTCCTCCTGTTGGTTCATGTCCTGTCCTCAGGAGCTATGGAGGATAAATCCACACCCAACAAAAATTTATTTTTTGTTTCAATCCTGACTGGTGGTCTTCTAGCACCCGGCTCAGCTTGGCTGAGCTACTGACTCCCACAGTTTTTGTTTGGTTTAACCTTCAGTGTTTGACCAGAGCCAGGGTGGGGTGAGGATGTCCCCTTCAATCCTCTCCTGGTTCCCCACAAGGCTGGTGGTTAATAGTGGGGTGGGGGGCAGCAGGAGACCTACTTTTCTAGTTGCAGTTACTGAAGGACCTCAGAGGAGGTCTACCTGTCCCAACAGGTCTGGCAGAAGAGTCATGTTACAGCTCCCATCTGTTAAGTAGTGCCATCTGATGGGAGACAGGAGGAAACCCTTTTTTGCTGCAGTGCCCACCCTTTGGAACATCCTCCAGAGTTTAGACTGGCTCCACACTTGTTGACTTTCTGGAAGAGCCTGAAGACGTGGCTCTGTCAACGTGCCCGGGGATCTGGCCATGGTTTGGAGCCTGCTAGATGACTGTATTGATTGACGCATGATTTGCACTTTCCTGCTTCTTCTATTTCCTGGTTTTAAATGTTGGTTTTAATTGGATTTTTAATTTGCTTATTTTTTAAAATTGACCTCTGTATTGTGTTTATTGCTTGCTGGTAGTTTAATTATGTGTGCCACCCAGAGTCACCAAAGTGAGATGGATGGCTTTGCAAACTGAATAAATAAAATAAAAATGGAAAGAGCTTGATTATTCTACTCCAGCTATTCATTAGAAGAATGCCAGAAGAAGGAGTGTCATGGCCCAGGACTCGGACCACTCTGAGTCTGGAGGAGTTGCTCCAGCTGAACCAGTGGAATGTCAGCCTCAGGAGACGCCAAGCCAGGAATCACCTGAGGCTGGTCAAACACAGGCCCATCAGAGCAACTGGAGCAGTCATGATGAGGCACGGCCTCCAAGCCCTCGAGAGCAGAGCAAAGACGCTCAGTGAGATTCCTTACCAAGCAAGGGAGAAACCCTTGATTAAAGACAGCTGGCTGGAGCTGATCTAAGAGCAGCCCTGACCCCTTTCTCTGTTGGAAACATCCGTCTGGTTTCCTGCTCTGCTTGTACAAGAAATCTTGAAACCTGGGGCTTTGGACTGGCTGACAAATCTGACTTGGCTCCCTGAACTTCGGACTGAATCTTGACCTCTGTTCTGTGTGTCCTGTGGAAAGTGAAAGTACTCAGGCAAGCTTTATCTTCAAGAGACTCTTTTGTTTGTCTGCCATTTATCTACTCAGCCTGGAGTAAATTGCCACCATCACCTAGCAACTGGGTGTGTGTTTGAAACCAGAAAAGGAGCACCCATCTGTGTTTGTTGCAGCAAAACCAATCAAGGGATCCTAAGATTAACCCCTTTGTGATAATGTGGAATATTATGAGAGGGGGAATCAGCAGACTCTGTAGCCCCCTGACTTTTCCCTATAGGAAATATAGTATTAATCTGTAAGAGGTCACCAGAATCTTTGGGTGCTTTCACCAGAAGAAAGTCTGTTTGGGGTACCTAATTCAGTCCCTGTGTGCCAGGCGCTGTATAGTTCTAAAAGCGAGGCAGCTTCCTCCTTTTCCTGAAGGCTCTCAATCCCAGATCTGCTCCTGCGAATCCCTCTGCCTTTGTAAGCCCTGCAGTTTTTGCCAAACCTTCTACAGCTGGGGTTCCTAAAAGAGGTTCATGATTTCTCTGTCTCCTTTCAATACTTAGCCAAGCCTGAACTGGCGAGAGAGAATCAGACATCTGAGGTAGGGGAGATGAAAGCAGGATTGTGTGTCGAAGTCTCTTCCCACAATTCAACTGTCTGGTTTGGCCTCTCAGTAGTTTTGAACGGAGCTTCACTGCAGCTTTCCAGAGCTACAGTTGACTTCATGGGTCAAGTACCAGAAGTTACCTGAAAGTGCAGGAAGTTTGAGATGGTGAACCTCGGGAATCCCTCCTCATTTGATCCCCAAAACTACCCTATGAAGAAGGTTGGAGAATGACTGGCCCAAAGTTACCCAGGGAGCTCCATGGTCACACGAGGACAAATCTGCATCTTAGCCATTATGTAACCATGGCTTGGCTCAGCTTTAGGCTCTTCCACGTTTGTTCAAATGTAAAACCTCTTGGCTCAGATGAAACATTCCTTGCAGATGTCCCATTTGTTGAAGGAGGGAAGACTGTGGCTCAACCCTTCTTTGGAATGTTTAGCCTGTTGAACTCCCTGCATCTTCAGAGTTTCACTCATTGATGGTTTGCCATCCCTTCTGACCCTTCCTGGTCCTGGCTGGCTTTGGCCTGTCCACTCTGCAGCCTGAACTTTCTTTTTTGTGATCATTCCATAAATTCAAAAACCTTCCAGAAGTAGACCCTGAAACTTTTTTATTGTATAATAAAATCACTCAATATTGTGAGAGACAAGATTTTCCAGAAAGGAGATAAATTATGATGAAGATAAAGTTCTTGTTTTTTCAAGCTGTCATCCAAGCTACTTTACAAAGAAGGAATGCATTTAAATTCCACACAGACAATTAAATCAGGAAGATAAAAAGTGGGGATTTCCGTTCAAGGAAATCATTTTTAAGCCACAAAGTACGGAGATAATTTTTCAACTCAAGAAATGAACGAGGGAATGGAGGACCTCAAGAAAACCACCTTTGAACCTCATTGAGAAAGCAATGTTATTTTGGGCTGTCAGAGCTTCATCATAGCTTTAACAATGAGAATGAACAAATATGAGGAGCATAAATACCAATAATTGAACTTTATTTGTATTTACTTTGTTCCTCGCTTATTTTAACAGTTACTGCCAAGTTTTATCAGCTTTATGTTTCCACTATGCTGATGCCATGGAATGGTAGATAGTTAAAGCATTAACTGGTTATATTAAGAAAGGAACAGGTTGAGCTGGGTTGAAAGGACTTAGACCACGTAAGGAGTCCAGTGGGGGATGTCCTGTGCATTACTGAAGTTCACCCAGGATCTAAGTTGGGAGGTGAGTGGGATTATTGATGGGAAAACCAGGATAAATAGGGTGTAGAGAAAAGGGGAGGGGTAAGGTTTCAGAAAGGGGTAATAAAAATATTGCAATCTTTTTCTTTCATTGAGGAATATAAATTTGTTGTTACTGCACTCAGCACAGTGCCTCAGGTTGAAAAGATTTTGTGTCATATAAGAGGAGTAAGAGGATAACTTTGGCAGGAAATTCCTGATGAGTGACAGCTATTAGCTAGTTTCCCCGAATGTCAGGAACTTTGGTGATACGATGATGAGATTTTGAGGTCATTTGCTTAGCAGTAAATATGCTACAGGAAACATACAAAGCAAAGGTTAAAATAAATATTTTAACACCCCGCATCTTGCAGCAGGAACAAGGCAAAATTTGTTGCAATTCTACTTAAAGCTAACTTAGATTTTAAAGCTGAAAAACTGTAATGAAAGCTCGGCATATGCAGTTCGTCTTTGTTAAAGGGAAATTGGACAACAAGCTAGTTATATTTGCTTCAGTTTATTCTCTGAATCACGACAAGATGCTATTCTTCAGAATGGGACAGTTAAAATTGGGTATGGAAAATCTGATATCGGGAGGGGACCTAAATTCAAAGACAGGTAGTAAGCGAGGGGAAGTAGATATTTTGGAAGTTAGATGAAAATGTTAATTATATAAACACTTGTTGAAAATTATGCAAAGAAAAAGGTATGTGGGAAATGGCATGTAAACTTAAGCAAATAACAATTGTGTGTGTGTATGTATGTATGTGTGTGTGTATATAT